AATTTAATCAGTTAAGTCACTTGAGGGATTAATAATTTTAAAGTAACACTGCTACACTGAGTGGCAGGTATACAGACAAATAGAGTGCGGCTGGAGGAAGTCACCAGGGGCAAGTCTCTGGGGTCTCTAATTTGTCCCTGGCACCTTGCTCACTCTGCTTCCTGCTGCCGTGCGATGAACAGCTTTTCTGCACCATGCCTTGATGTTCTGTACGGAGAGTACGACAGAGGATGGGAAAGCAGTGTCTGGTTTGGGGTCTCGGATGTCCTCATGGCTGTGGCAAGCCTGGGGGCCTGGGGATGTTCCTGTATAAGGGTCAGGGATGCCTGGCTGCTGTGGTAAAGCCCTGAATGAGGAGGCTCTGTGGAAGAGACTGACCAGCTTCAGTCTTGATCTCCGGCACACAGCTCCAGGGACTAGAGGAAGTCTCTTGCTAGGAACCACAATGTGTCACCAGCTCCCCTGCTGCTGAACCTGCCCCTTTAACAATAACTTTAAACAATGGACCTTCTTGAGAGCTACGCAGAGCTCCTGGCATCACACATTGCAACCGTAGTTGGCAACTGCAGAAAAGCTGCATAAGTGTTTCTAGCCCTATAACTTTCGGAGTACAAAGAATAATGCTTGCATAGCCTTTAACTTGTATAAAGAAAGATTGCTGGTGGGTTGAAATGACTTTTGGTTCACAGCTAGCAGGTACGAGCAGCTCAGAGTGTTAGGAAAACCTAAGCTTGTACAGGCCTGACAGGAACACCTGCAGGACGGGGTGCTCTGCTCTCAGTGAGCCATCTGTGAAACCACATCCTCAGCTCTTGTGGTTAGCGTTGCCAAGCTACCAGACTACCAGGTCAGGAAACCGAGGGTCAGATGCTTCAGGGCATGAAACCCCCCAACTCATAAAGTCCCCCTCCCTTAGGGACAAAGACCCTTCCAGACTGCCTTCCATCACGACAGCAATATTCAGTGCTTCCTCATAGTGCAGTTACATTAAGCATAAGATGATTGGCTTATAGATGTTAAGGTGCTTATGTGTGATTGGCGGGCACGCACTACCTGAACCCTATAACAGCTGTATGCATTCCAAAAATTAACGAGCTTGCCTGGAGGTCGACTGAGGTTATCATCTGCCAGCTCTCACCAGCGCCTGGTGTCTATGTGTTGATTTGATAACGCATCTCTACCCCCTGCGACCGAGGTAGGCGAGTGACCATCGAACACACCAGTGACCAGGAACGCATACACTGGTATAACTCTTGAGACCTGCTTCTCCATCAGAGAGCAGCCTTCCCCGCAACTGTAGCTTCATCTTCAAAATCATATATGTGTGTGTGAGTCTTTCTCTTTCTTACAAGTTTAGCTGTGCTCATTGCAGCAATATGTGATACAACTAATAGGGAGTTGGTATGCAGAAGACATGGAGAACCACATATTCGACCATTTAAACAGCCCACTTGAAAAAAATGGGAAATAGATATGAATCACCACTTCATTCCAATGTCCAATACACATATGAGTAGATGCTCATATTGCTAGTGATTAGTGCCTTCCAGAGCAGCAACCTAAGTGACAGAGGACCTAAGTCAAGAACAAGAGAAGAGGTTTATGAGCTGAAAATAATTGATGGTGACTTTTAGGAAAGCTTGACTACCCCAGTGAGTATGATCCATGTAAACAAATTCTGAACTATTACATTTAACATAGATTTGTTATGATTTTTTTTCCTATAGACACGTGAGGACTGGAAAAACTTTATTTATGTGGACATTGAAACCACTATCAGGAACATTTTCAAAATAAGGAACACACTTGAAATAGTTGAAAGTATTAAGTCACCTGAATTTCCCAGGCTTGACAGTGAAAGAAAAGCATGTACCATATGGTGAACAGGCAACCCAGCATGTTTCCTACTTGACCATGAAGTTGTAACCTTTCTATAATTTCATCATGTATTAACAGTCACGAAATATCATATTTTATGCATGAGAAATTTAAGACTTAGCTGTTTCTCTGAATTATTTCTTTAAAATGTTTTAAACACCCAAAGGAAATACATTCCTGATCTATTGGATGACTTTCTGACCTCAAGAGCATACACACTAGTTTGAGAAGCCTTTATACTATACCATGCATAAAAGCTGATCACTGGGTAGAGCTTTCGAAGTTACAAAGTACTCTGACATGAATCCTGGAAGACAGGTATCGGGAGCATGCAGGGAACCCCTACATATCTCTAAAGAGGATGAAAATCCTAGGTTTCAAGTAGTCAGCATTGGTTTGCCTGACACATGACGGTGGCCCTTTATCATAATCTCCCAATTATCACATTGCACCTTAACTGCAATGAGTCCTGTGATGCCACACAGCTATTAAAAGGCAAATGAGAAGGGCCGAACCCAAGGCTTCTGGCTCCAAAGCTCTGCTCTTTCTTTTGCCAACCACCTTCTTATAGTACGGCGTGGAATGAGACCGTTTTAAAACCAAAGCAAGACAAAAGGTTGTTATTGACTGTGATTTAGAAGACGTCAACCCCCAAATGTCTACCCTTGTCATAATCTGAGTATTCGGGATTATGTCTTTTGTCAAATAACTTCTGAATATCTGAGCAGCTCATCCCCTCGATCTAGGTTTCTGCTCATTGTCCCTTCCTAAGGTCAGCCTTCCCTGGGTATATACTACGAAAGAGCAGTAACACCACTATTTCCTATTACCTCACACCATTATCATCTCTCCATGGAACTTACTTACTTGACACTGCACGGTATCTGTGCTGTTGCTATTGGCTTGGTTTTTTAGTTTGCCAGTCTCTGCTGTGACAGAAGTGACTTGAGTCTAAAGACTTTGCTGTTCATTGCTGAATGTTGCCTCTCAAAATAGTATTTGGCACACAGAAGATATTCAACAAGCATTTGTTTAGACAATATTTGTTGAGTCAACAGTCTAGGCTTCCCTTCTCAAAATTCAGTCCTGGGCATTGCCACCTACTAGGTTCTATTGATGCGTTTAGCTTGATTCGTCAAGGGCTAGTTACTTGAGCATTCATAGAGTAAATGTGATCACTGAACATTTTCTAAAGGGGTTTTCCAAGCCCAAAATAGCATAGATAAACAAACAGACAAAAACAAAACAAAACAAAAACAGAACAAATAAACTATAGTTAAATCACTGTTATATTTGTAGGATGACTTCAAAAGAAAAAAAAAAAGGTTGAGAATGCTTTTCAAAATCCAAAATAGCATGCCAAATATGTAACATCAAATATAATCAAGATAGGGAACTTAGAAACTTCTGTCACCAGAGGGAATAGTCGAGTGAGTCTCCTACAGTTTCATTGAACCAGCTAAAGACTTTAAGAAAGTAAAACAGTACACTGTAGGGAAGTGGGTGGCGGGGGATTAAGTCAGTTTGTGTAGACTTCTAGAGCAAACTGATAGGTGTAGTTTATTTTTATGCTTCTGCTATTAAATTTTCAACACCATTTAACTGGTTAATAAAATATTAATTTAGGATATGGGTATATTTTTAATCTAGATGTGTCATAATACTATGCAATTACAAAAATCACACAGCACTTAACTTCATGCCGGAAGAGTTAAGAAGCAATAATTTGCCATACTACAAAGACCTGGAAGATCTATGCTAAGTATTTTTGTCTCTTCTTTGCTGATTGATTATCCCAAAACCAGAATTCCTGAGTAAAAAGACCTCTACGTTAGTGTAGGGAACAGTTAGCCGTTTGTCATTTGCTAGGAAACAAGAAAGGACAAAGTAGTAAGGGTTTGTTTCAGTAACTTCTCACCATTTAATACTTCCATATTCCAATTTTCCCCTTTTAACACCCATGAGCTGGTATTTTAAACAACTGAGAAGATGGTAACCTTTATTTCAGTGCATGTGAGTTTCTTCCCTTGGACCAGATTTCTAAAGCCCCACATCTAAAACCAAAAAGAAAAGAAAATTCGAACATTGCTTCTTCATTGTTGTAAATTATTTTTCTCTACTCAATATTTCCAATACCCCAAAATTGAGCAAAATAATATTGTGAAATCTAAGTTCCAGTTCCTTTTCCTTCCTTTGTTAAATAAACCTGAATAACTTATAGGTTGTTCTCATTTGAAGTTAGAATTCCCAAACCAAAATGTTTCAGGTAGGAAGTTCACTATTTGCAAAAGTAAGAAATCTCATCGTGAATTCAAGGGAGAAATAATATTAATGAAAATCTGGAGAGGAAAAAAAAAGTAGTACTGGAATAAAGAAAAATAAAGGATTTATAAAAATAATTAAGATTCTCAATGAACACATAGAGGATTGAGATAGAAAAGCAGTGACGGGTAAATTCTACAGTTAAGTGTCCTTGTCCTCTCCAAAACTCCTGTTAAACCTGAACCCCCCTCCCCAATGCAATCTTGCTGGAAGGTGGTGACTCATTGTACGTGTTTAGGTCATGAGGTCTCTACCCTCATAAATGAATTAACTACTGTCACCATAAAAAGGGTTTGTGAGAGTAAATTTGCTCTTTTTGTCCTTCTGTCATATGAGCATGCAGCAAAATGTTTATCCCAATTGCCAGGGCCTTGATCTTTGACTCCCCAGCCTCTAGAACTATGAGCAATAAACTTCTGTTCTTTACAAATTACCCAGTGTATGGTATTCTCTTACAGCAATATAAAGCAGACGGATAGTAGGGAAAATCTGCCTTGTCCATAATAGTGAGGGTCAGAGAGCAGTATCTGGGCTGAACTGGAAACTTAATTCTTTCATCTATTCACACACTCCCTACTGTGTAATGCAGTGAAGATGAGATTAATGCCTTTCCCTTTTCTTCTCATTGTGTGAAAGACTAGGGAAGTGTGCCTTGGAAGTAGCTAGAAGGCGCACATTTTCCCTTTGAAATTTAACCTCATTCAAAGGAATAGAGGTTCCTAAATGTTGGCTATGAAAGTTCTTGGAAAGTTTCATCTATTGAGAAAAACATGTCAGTACTGCTGAGCTCTAACTTGTTGTGGTCATCACTGTGTTTACAGGAAGCTCTTCCGTTTTTTCTGACTCAAGAAACCGAAAGTTAGAAGCACTGATGGGAGGAGTCCTCTCTGTTTCCTCTCCTCTGTGGGCTCTGAGCAGTATGAGACACCCAACATTGCTCAAGTTAGTGACTTTCACCAGTGTGCTATGCCTCTGTTATCTTTGGAAATGCTGGAAATGATTTTATTTATTTATTTATTTTTAGCATTTCAGAACACAATATCCTGCTGTTCATTCTCTGAGAGCTTTGCCGATTTATTTTCCTAATGCAAACCAAAAAAAGCCCTGCTTCCTGCATTACTGAAGCTCTGGAAACCTGGACCACTGCTGAAGAAGTTTCCAGGAAGGTGAGTCCTGCCCGTGCTTTCTGTAGAGAAGACCTGAACACTTAGCCCCAAATCACAAGATCACCAGGGGAATCAGTCTGGGCTCTTCAGGGTGGTGGGGTGAGGGGAGTAGGGCTGGCATCAGTTATGCTGAGAACAGGGACAACTGCAGTGATTGATTCTCATGCTTCACTTTGAAAGATAACAGACCTCTTTATTCTCCAACACTGAGGCCTGAATAAAGGGAAGTGCATATTGACTATTGCAGATTGTAAAGTAAATGCTGAGGAGGAATTGACAGGGGTTCATATTGCAGAAGAGGACTTTGGTTTTCTTGTTTGGAAAGAGTATAAAAAACTTGGTGACTGTAGTGAGGGGCCTCAGGAAAAGACAAGAATGAGACATAAAAAAAAGCATAAAGTAATGTTAATTATAAAACACATCTGGAATGCATAACATTATCCCAATTTTAGAAAACATGAGAACAATTGCAAAGGCATTGTAAAAGTATTCAGACTCATAAACACAGTTATTCAAATGCATAATCTTAATATCTTGAAAAGTAGGATTTAGTTTTCTTTAACTTCATTCTAAAGCAGGTAAATAGATGTCTTCAATTATTTTTGACCAAAATTTCCCCTTAACTAATTAAACTCTGTATGTCCATGATGGTTATAAGTATTTTGTCTTGATTTTTTGCTATCTTCACTCTAATCTATGACCCTTCTTTATTCTCTCTCTTTTTTTAACTTATTGCTCTTTCTTAGGCTTTAAAAGACAAATGCATCAGAAACTGTCACCTTCTGTTTCCCCCTTTCATTCACCATGTGGATGCACTTCCTATTTCTCTTCTCTCCTACCATGTTTTTATTTTTAAGACATAGTCTACTTAATCAAGTTTGATTTCATTCTCCAAATATTTTGGCCTGAAGTATTTAGTGTGGTTTTTTGTTTGTTTTTGTTTGTTTTTGTTTTGGTTTTGGTTTTGGTTTTGGTACCAGAGATTGAACTCAGGGACACTGAACCACTGAGCTACCTGCCCAGCCCTTTCATGTATTGGATTTAGAGACCCGGTCTCGCTGAGTTGCTTAGCACCTCCTTTTGGCTGAGCTGGCTTTGACTCAAGTTCCTGCTGCCTTCCTAGCTGCTGGGATTACATGAGTGCACCCCACCCAGCTCCTGAACTATTTCTTAATAAAACTTTTTGAGTTGTGCGATAGATATGGGGATTTTGAACTAGTATTATAGAAACATTATTCCATTATCTTACTGTAGGCAGTTGTGCTATTGAAAATCAGTTTCGATCTGATGCTTGACTCTTTGTAAGTTTCATTCTTTGTTTCTAGAGACTCACAGTGTACTCATTTTTTTTGTTTAAATATTCTTCATTTCACTAAAATGTTCATTGTGTGAATCTTCTCTTTATTCTATGTGCCTTTTCAGTCTTGACGATATTCCTGTTCCCTCAGGAGGAAGCAATTATCGCTCCAGATATTTGAACATTCCAGTCAATTAGAGGTATATACAAAAAAAAAAAAAAAAAAACCCAGAATCCTAAATAAAAAGGCTTGTAAGGTAAGCAGAAAATTGGAATCTATACCATGTACCCAGTGTCACTAGGGAAGAGAATAAGAGGCTACCAAAGTTCAGGGATGTGACTCTTATCCATGTGGGAATTCTGGGGCTTCCGGAAGACAGAACCTCAGTACAGTCTTCAAGGTTGTAGTGGAAGGTAATCAGAGAAAGAAATACAGAAGTGGCTTTTCAGGCCATGAAATGGGAACTAGCAAAGTCTTAAAGCGTGAAAAGACAAGGTGTGTTGTGTATTTCAAAAGCATATGATAGAAAGGTATACAAAGAATAGATGAATAGATGAAGATAAATCCAGGCCTTTCAGACTATACTTAGGGAGTCAGGGATATTTTTTTAAAAGAAAATTAAGAAACTATTAATAAATTTAAACCTGTAATATACTGTGAGTTTTAGAGAGAAAATAGACATTATGATAAAAACTAATGGAGAAAATTAGACTTGAAAGTATATAAATCAAGCAACTGTTGAAATAATTCTACCAATAAATACTATGACCCAATAAATAATTCTACCAATAAATATTGTGACAAAGGACACAGAGTGCATGCTCCCACACAAGGACAGACACAGACACAGCTGGGTAGGGAAGAGCCAAGTGGACAGGGTCAGTGCCTGAGCCTGGAAGTGGGGTGCAGCAGCAGACAGTCACTCCTGGGGGTGGGGGAGGCCGGGGCCATTGGCCCAGCAGCCACTTCCTTCCCAACAGGTGAGCAGAGAGTCAGGAGCAAGATACACCCAGGGATGGGCCCAGGTCCAAGAAAGAACGGCAAGGGGAGCCAGGGGCTCTGACACTGCACCCCCCCAGCCTGTTTCCTGACCCCTTCACCACCCACCATTGAATCCACTCAGCTCTCATCACTCAGAGGGAAGAAGTTCTTAGAAACGTGCACTGCAGCATTTCTCCCCCATCTCCACAGCAGCACCTCTGGTAACCCAGCCCTCTTCATCGCACACACACCTCTGCATGGCACTTGGACGGGGGGCAGTCACTCACATACACATAGGCCATTTTTGAAAGTGTCCGTATGCACGTGTCAGACTCTGTGCTGTTTCTGTCTCGTAGGCTCATCCGTAACTTGAGAGATGGTGAACGAATACAAGAAAATTGTCCTGCTGGTGGGGCTAGAGGCCATTAAGGATTATGAATTTAGATTGATTAAGTCCTTATTGGCCAAAGACTTAAAACTGACTAGAAATATGCAAGAAGATTATGACAGAATTAGGATTGCTGACTTGATGGAAGAGAAGTTCCACAGAGATGCTGGGCTGGGAAAACTGATCACACTCTGCAAAGACATTCCGGCACTTGCAGAACTCGCGGAAATTCTTAAAACTCGGAGGTTGAAAGGTAACCAGGAGGCACCCCTGGCTCCCATCCTTTCTGCCCCCCCACCTTCCCCAAAATTGACTAGAGCCCTGACTTACTCACAGTTGATTCATCCCAAGTCAAAACCTCAGTTAGTTACCATAGCAATCATGGTTCTTGAGATGCCAACCATTTGACAACTTAGAGAACTCCTTTACAACCGAGTGTATTTTGGTTAGTGGAGTATGTCTTTTGAGGGTAGAAACGAAGAAAAAAATCAGGAAAAGCCATTGAGAGACTCGGGCTTCAAATACTTTATATAAGAAAATGAACAGTAAAATTAGAAAAAAAAAATGTGCATTTCAAAAATATTTAAATCACAGCTGGCGATATAACTTAGTTGGTCGAGTGCTTGTCTTGCATGCACAAAGCCCTGGATTCAATTCCCAGCACCATACACACCAACACAAAAATATTTAAATCAATTATTATTACTGCTCTATTAGAATACTTGCTTCATCATTAATATCTTCTCTGGCAACAAAAATAAAAGAATGTTTAATAAAAATGTGCCTCTCTGTGATGTGAAGAACTTCCCTCTTATCAAGGGTCTAAAAACCACTTGCAAGAACTCAAAGTCCAATATCACTTCTTTATCGTGTGACAAAGCAGATGATAATTTCTTCCTCTATTTTCTCCAATTCGGAGGAGTCTTCTACAAAGATGACCTCTCCTTAACATCATGTAAAGTGTAGAAACTTATGAGGCAAATGTACAATAAGAGGGTTAGGAAAGGGATTGACAGAGGTCCCTGGGAGTCCCCGGGATAGGAAGGCTGTGCTCACTGCACACAGGAAGGGTAAGGAAACCGCCAAGGGACAGGCTGGGCCTGGGTGGCTTCTGCTAGGCTGAGCTGATGGGCTAGAGGTGGATGCCCACAGTCAGACACAAAAGCAGGAGCAGAGAGGAAACAGACTGAGACTGCATCCACTGACTTCACCCAGGAGCCCCGGTTTGTTGTGCTTTCTTTCTTTTTTATTGATTTTATTATTTTTTAAAAATACACGACAACAGTGGAATGCATCACAATCCTTACTACACAAATAGAGCACAATTTTTTGTCTCTCTCTATATTAAGTATGTTCGCACCAATTTATGCCATTATACATGTATTTTTTTTGCATTACAATTCTTAATACACATATATACCACATTTCTCTGTCTATAAGGTATTTTCAAGTCTTCATACATGTACTTTGTATAATGATGACCATCACATTCCACCATCCTCGCTAATCCCCTTCTCCCTCTCTCCCCCCCCCACCCCTCTTCCCTATCTAGAATTTATCTAATCCTTTCATGCTCTCCCTCCCTACCCCACTATGAGTCACACACCCGCCCCTTATATGAGAGAAAACATTCAGCATTTATTGTGCTTTCTTTTACTTCATCAGTTAAAAGGAAATCCAAAGGGGGAAGAAAATCCACAGGGGAAAAAAAATCTACAGGGAAAAAAGTGGAGCAGGATGAATCTCCTACTGCCCAGTCCAGGTCCACAACAAATACAGATTCGGAACCAGAGTCAGAGGAGGAGCTACCTTCGTCAAAGGTAGGACGGCTGAGCCCCCACTGAAAAAGCGTTCACTCCTGATCTTCCGCTTCTTGCCTTTTAATCTACCCTCCAGTCTCTGTATACAACGTAGTGAAAACGAGGTTCTGAGCTTGCAAACTCATACCTATTGGTCTCCCGTTTTCTTTCAGTACTGCTGTGCACTTGAACTTAGGTAATATGACCCCCTAGGGCAGAAACAGAAAATCATCACACTTTTGTAAGATATGCACTAAAATAGCAATCAGTTTGGGACAATGGTTTGCTAAAGCTTATTGAGAGACACTGAGTCCAAATTTAGCTGTTTCAAATCCAAGTCTCCTGCTCTTCCATCACCAGAGGTTGAGTACGGGGCGATATGCAGAATTGTTTTTCTCAGTCTTTCTTTGAAGCAGTCATATATGCCCAGTGCTTTCCTTCTGGCCATCTTTTCAGAGGATAGACTGTAACTCCCCGGAGTTCCCAAGAATATAAGTATAATTAGGATCTTTTTATACAAAAGGACTTCCTTCTCTGAAAATGTTGTGCTTCGACTAACATTAAATTGCGTTACCAAAGGCTGGGACCTGGGCTCAGTGGTAGAGCATCTAATTAACATGTTTAAGGTCCTGGTTGAATTCACAGCACCAAAAAAGAAAAATTATCTTTACCAAGACTAAAAGGGAAAAAAAAATCTTTTAGGAAAACGAAATCAAGAACTCTGAAGACCCTGAGAGAACACAGCTTCCCCCAGAACAGGGTCGGTTTATGGAACCTTCAGCCACCAGCAAAGAACAAACTGCGGTCTGTCCCCAGACTCCTCATGGGCCTCCACCAGAACCATCCAATAGTCCTCCAATCGAGGTACCTCTTCCTGCTCCTAATACTTGTCTCTCCCCACACCATATTTCTGGGGTCATTATAATCATGAAAGAGCTTCTCCAAATCCCTTACTGTACCCCATTTCTTCCTACAATTAAATCACAAATTAATTTATCAAATGCATATATTAAGATTCCCATGCTATTTACAAGGCATATACTGATGAAACAATTCCTGATCTCCACAGCTCACGTGTTGGTCCAGGAGAGATGGGTATCGGGAGTTTATCATCTACTAGATGATAAACTCACATTATAGTTAGCTGGGCCAGAGGGGAGAAAAGACAAACACCTATCTCATCCACTCCATCACAATCTGCTTTTTGTTTTGCTCTTTGTTCCTGCCTTGATGTGATTCCTGTGGTTACCAGCGGCCCGACATCGAGAAGTCTGTATCTTTGGTGAATGAGCAAGAAAAAATTGCTTTGAATCTTCAGGACGGGCACGTAAGAGCACAAGTTGAGTCACGCTTTCCTACTATAGTTTCTAACTCAAGACCAAGCTGCATTTTGTCTTAGGTCACAGCCTTACCAACAAGCCACACTCTGATATTGAAGACAGAGTCCCTCTAGAAAGAGACTTTCAATTTTGACCTAGTTTTCTGCTGTATTTTTTCATTGTATTCATTCATTGTTATGAGGAATTGAACTCGGGGTCACTTAACCACATCCCCAGATCTCTTTATTTTCCATTTGAGACAGGGTCTTGCTAAGTTGCTTCAGGCCTCCTTAGGTTGCTGAGGCTATCTTTGAACTTGTGATCCTCCTTTCTCAGCCTTCCAAGTTGCTGGTATTACAGGCGTGCACCACCATGCCCAATCTCTGTTGCTATTATTGCTATTAGTTCCAAGAACCCATGTTTCCCCAAATCTCTCCTGAAAAGTCATAGAAATTAAAAAAAAAAACAGGGGGTGGCTGTTTGTTTTGTTTTCAGGAGTCTGCAAAACTGGTGTCAGGAACAAATTTGTGCATTCCCTTAATGGGAAGTTTTAGTTAATAAACCAAATTCATAACCACAGCTGACATTGCTCTAAAATTTCCCGTTTTATAGTCCAGGAGGGTTGTTTACCCAAACATACCCTAAAACTATGCTTGGTCAAGTTGTTTTAAGTCATTTGGCAACAGATGTAGAACCCAGGTTTATGTACATCATCTCATTTATTCTTTATAATACCATATGAAAATGGTATTATTGTTAGTCTCATTGCACACATGAGAAAATGGAGATGCATAAAATCACACAGGTCACACGGGAGTCCATCTTAGTGCCAGGATTTAAACGCGGCCATCTTTGAACTAAATTTAAAACTTGAATGTTGAATGATCACAGATGGAATGCAGGGTAGGTATGCAGATGTTAAAATGTCTCCAATTTATGTTTGAACACTTTTGAATAGACCTTGTTGTCTTTGGGTTTGTTACTGTTGCACACCTGTCTGGGTGCTCAGAAGCTGTTCTAAGGAGGGGTACTCCAGTTGAGGGCCCTCTAAGCAGTTCTCTCACACCCATCAACAAGTGGTGGGGCTGTCTCAGTGGAAAAGTGTAGCATGAGTAAGGCACGGGGTTCGATCCTCAGCACCACATAAAAATTAACAAGTAAAATAAAGGCACTCTGTCCATCTACAATTATAATTTTTTTTTTAAAGTCAGATTACTGAATGGTGTCAAAACTGGTCAGTACTGTGTTGTGCTGACCCAATTATGATAATGTTTAATGGACTTCCATTAGTGTAATTGAAGGTTGCAATACCATAAGATTTCAGGGAGATTTCCCATTGTTACTTGAAATTGTCTAACCATGTAGCTAAAGAAAATGCTTTGGGTAGTATGTTGAATTGCCCAGAAAGATTCTGGCTTCCTGATCCACACCATAGAGGTAGCAGGATCCTTCCCGAGGAACTGTGAATTTGAGGGACCTGTCCTGTTGCAGTCATGATCAGATACCCGAGAGGATGGAGACTTTCATTTCCTAGATGCCAAAGAGCACAGGACAGGGACTGGTGCATGTAATTGAAAGACTTAGTTAACAAAGGTCCATTAGCCTGTTTTGCACCCCTTCAATAACAACAACAATAACAATAACAACAAAAACAAAAACTCTAAGAGTTGTATCTAACTGAATGATTTAGACCAGTTATATAGGATCTGGAGAACCAGTATTACATCCTAGACCAGTGAAATGCCAATCCTTTGAGGTTTTTACATTTAAAAGGAGGATTGTGGTAGGAGGAGGCATGGTGTTGGAGGTGGCTGAATGTGTGCTATTATTCCTCCTGTGACCCAGGAGAAAATATGCATGGTATAGGTTCTATGTAAAATATTTTTTAAAAAATGAGAATAAAAGATGCATTTCATCTGATTTTTTTAAAAAAAAAAAATTAAACAAAAAAAAGTAAAGAAATTTATTTTCCTTCAGGAAATGGACAACACAAACACCCAAACACATGATAACATGGAGGTACAGGAATCTCAGGGACAGCGTCAACTTCCAGAACTGTCATCATTTGCCACACAAACAACTGCGAGTATGTTCCACACTTTTAAGATGGCTCCCAGAACACCATCCTGCAGTTTCCAGACTCTTCAGGTGACTCCAACAGAACCATCCACCAGAATCCAGACTCTGCAGGTGGGTGCAACCATACTGTCTACCAGTCTACAGACTCCTCTGGTAACTCAAACCCCATTCAGCAGTTGCTTCCTCACAGTAAAATTTCCTGTTCCCGCAAATATAAGGACAGGGATGAACAGAAACTTGGAAGAACAGAAACTTCTAACTCACTTATTTAGTTCAGTTGTTATTTTTATTAGGTATTTTTTTTTTTTTGAGATCCTATGCTAACTTTGAATTCTAATTCAGATAATGCCCCACTCCATCAGGATAATCTATGACTATTAGTGAGTACCTAAATCTTCCCTGTTCCATAACCAGTAAAACAAGACATTAGTTTACTTCATTTTATTTTTATGTTTTGGTTTGCATTTTTCATTTTTCCTCACTGCAACATGTAAATGGTATCTTTGGGTAAAATAGTGTGTAGAAATACAGAGCCAACGGGAATCTATTAATATTGCTTTGCTTTCATTATTTTTTGTTAACACCAATGACATCATCTTAGAAAATTTATGAAAAAAAATAGATGTATGGACAAATATAATTAAGATTTAACTGTCTGGAATTTTTTCTCTATCACATGCCAAGCTTAAGTGTATCGTCTTCTCTATCTTTTGTTATGTGTATATAAGAAATATCATTTTCTCCCAAGTTGGGCCACATTGCATGTATTCTTATATAACCCAGACTTTAAAAATTCTTTTAGCATATCTTGAAGTGCTTGGCTTCAATCAGCCAATACAGACTGAAATAACTTTATTGTATATAAAAAATTACATGATTATTCTATGCATTATAAAAATAATTTCACACTATCTGGCTTTATGTTACTTTTGGTATTCCCTATACCTGCAATAAATGGAAGAACATGTATCCCTCAGTCCTTCTTTTATCACCTGCAGAGAATGATATAATTTATTTCTCAAGTTCTGTACACTTTCTGTCATATGTTATCGTCACCATCATGAGGTGCTGGGAATGAATTTCCTGATGTAGGAAAGTACCATATTGATGAGAAGGCAGAGTGAAACCCCATCCCTCGCAGGTCATATTCTGTAGAACTTTCTCCGTCAGATCTCAGTGAGCACTGCTGATCTGTGGAGAATATCCATCTGCTGATTCCTAGAACTCCCATAGTCTCCTCCATACTTCTTCTTCCGGATCAGTAGACTCCCTGTAATTCAAAGTGCTCTGCTGAAACTCAGAAAGAGTGCAGAGCACTGTGGAGAAATGTGATCAGGGTTGAGTTCCTTCATGACTAATTTCCAATGCCATGATTCCCCTCAATGCCTGGTAGCATTCAGCCTGGACCTGTTCAGACTAGGAAAGTCCTGGGGGTTCTTTCAATGTCTGCCTTATGAACCCTTTTGCAATACATCACTGATTTCTTTAAAAAAAAGCTTTGTGATTTGAGTCTTTAAAAAGTCCTATTAAGATTAGTATCAGTTGAAATTACTACCTAAATCTTTTCATTTTTTTTTCACTACCTAAATCATACTGCATCTGCCATTATTGTCTAAATTTTCCCCAACTCTGCCCAATTAATGTTTCCTTGAGGATAACATCGGGAATCTTCTTTACATTCCTTGAGAATTGACCCTGAACCTGAGAAGGGTCTCACTAGACAGTGACTCTGGATTCCCTGTCATAACTGTGCTGTGTTTCTGCTGTGTGCTTTCTAAGTAGAATCCAGGATTGACAATGATACCTACGGAAGCTTCCGAAGAACGTGGTCACCAGAAGGGCCCCAAAGAGGTAGTGGTGTTGAAAGTAACAGAACCATTTATTTATGAGTTCAAAGAAGGCGGGAAGAAGATGTTTCATGCTACAGTGGCCACCGAGAGCGAATTCTTCCGAGTGAAAGTTTTCGACTTCCACTTGAAAGCCAAATTCATCCCAAAGACAGTTATTGCCATATCCGATTATATTGGCAGCAACGGGTTCCTGGAGATACACAGTGCTTCAAGTGTATCTCACGTGAGCGCAGACAGAAAGATGGAGATCTCAAGTAGACTGATTAAAAATGCTAATGCAACTCCTAAAATTGAGTATCTTTGCTCGCAATGTACAGTGAAATATGTGAATGGGGTGTACACGGTGTATAAGGTAAGCCATAGTATTATTTCATAAAATTTCTTCAGCAAACCTAGATTTTTAAAAGCCTTCACTTGCTAACTGGAGATGGGTCAGTTGACTGAGTACAGGAAATCCAGGCCTGACCGACTCACTTCCCACTTTAGAGTACGGCATAGTCGATCTCAGACCTTTTATCTTTTCGGGATCTCACCAGGAAAGTTCTTCAGAAAAAAGAATCACCAAGAATCTTTGGCATTCTAACAGTTATTCTGATACTTTCGTAGCCACCCTGGTCTACAGCAGTATACAGTTCCTCTCAACCCATGTATCCTTAGGATTTTGCTTGAGTTTTCCCCATCTGTATCAATGACAACTTAATTGTAAAGGAAGAGTTGACCTCCCAAATCTGGATCTGGTTGTGGTGACCAAAATAAGGAACCTAACTAGATGGCTCTGCCCCAGGATGGGGTGACCTCTAACAGTGATCTGATCAGCTGGACTGTAGGCTCTCACTCTTTCCCATTCATTACTCTTCATTACTCTTTATTAAGAAATTGTGACACATTTCGTCTGCATCAAATCATAAGAGAAACAGAAGCTGCAGACAAGAAACATGCGATTTAATCGCTCCATTTATAAGGGACAATGAAATGCGAAGAAGCTTGGTGAATTTTTAGACTCCTCAGTCTTCCTAGGCAGTCCCAATATACCACGTAAATAGTACCCTTGGCCGAGTTAACTGCTAATGTTGGAAGTGCGTCAATCTGCTATGTATGTCTTTGAGGATGGTCTTTTTTATTTTTTCTTTTTGATGGTGGGGAGTGAAACCAGGGTTACTCCACCACTGAGATACCTTCATAGTCCTATCTATCTATCATCTATCTATCTATCTATCTATCTATCTATCTATCTATCTATCTATCTATCTATCTATCCATCTATCTATCCATGCATCTATCCAGGGTCTCGTCAAGTTGACAAGGCCGGCCTTGAACTTCTGATCTGCTGACCTCAGCCTCCAGAGCATCTGGGATCATAGGCCTGCAACACACCCAGATGAGTGTGGATTTTTCTTTTTCCTGTGCTGTTTTCTGTACACTCTCTTTAAACAATTGTACATGTAAAAGTGGCTGTAGAATTCATTAATATAGTAATATACAAACCAAAGACAGTGGGACTAAATCCTTTGGATTTAAAATTTGGCACAGAGCAAATCAATGGAGAGGATAGAAAAAGAAATTGTATATTGAAATAACATGCAATACTTAATGAGGACTTCTCATAGTCTCTCAGGCTCCTGGTGAGCCCTAAATAGCTTTTCTTCTTCTCGTTTCATGTGGAAGTAACAAAGAAACCTACCAAGGTAATCAGATTTCTCTCTTTTGAGCTCCTTAGGAAATCCCAACTCTGCCAATTAACTGCTGCTAACTCTTCAATTAATGCAGATATGTAAAAATTAGGAAGATAATAAAGTCTCCTAGAAAAATCTAACACATGAAGACACTAAATAAGGAAATCTTGAGAGAAGTTTGATGGAAAATATCTGGACCTGTGGTTCAGATCTATTTACTTTGTCACAGATGAATATTTTCATTTATACCCTTTATTTTTCATAGATCTAAGAGTTCCTGATACATTTCTCATAAAGTTGAGTGTTAATTATCTTTTTCAGAAAGACATGAGGGAAGATTGCACTTATTATGGAATACGAGATGACACAGGGAACATGGAAGTGGTGGTGTATGGATGGATGACCTATGTCAACTGTGAGGAAGGAGATAAAATTAATCTCTTCTGTTTTGAATTGGCTTTCAATGAAGATAAGTGGCAGCTTAGATCTGTAAGGCACAGCTATATCAAGGTGGGTGTTCTATGGGAATGTCATTCTTCCAAATGGAAACTATTTAAAAAATTTTTATTTGTTTTTTTTTTAAATTATATGTGACAGTAGAATGTATTTTGACATATCATATGCACATGGAGTATAACTTCTCATTTTCTACATGAGTTACACTGGTCGTGTGTTCATATATGAATATAGGAAAGCTATGTCCGTTTCATTCTACTGACTTTCCCATTTCTACTTGGAGTGGAACCACTGTTTGACCCAGTTATCCCAATCCTCAGCTTATACCCAAAGGGATGTAAACTCAGTATACTATAGTGACACAGTCACATCAATATTATGGCAACTAGTTTCTTTATACTACACTTTAAGAAAACAAAATAGCAGCAGTTAACACAGATTTCAACAGATGGAAAGAAAAGTAAGCTCTGCCCATTAGTGCATATAAACTTTTTTTCACCATTTTTTTAAAAAAGAAGGATATTTCTAATCAGAGTGAAGAAAGTATATTCAGAGAGACTTTCAAAATTTATTACATCCTAAGCTAAATAATGAAGATATACTGAATTGATCGAAGCAAGAAATAATTTAATAAGAAATTTGGGTTCAATTAAGACAGATATGTTTTAAATTCTGGCTCTGTGATTTTCTAAATGACTAAAGATTTAAAACACAAGGAACTTCTCTGTCACCATCTATAAAGTGGGGAAATATTTTCTAACATAACAGGTCATCAACAAAACCCCTAAGAGATCTAGGTTACCAATGCTGCCCTGAGCAAATCAGAACACAAGTACTTCCTTTTAGAGAAATGGTAGATGACAGTGTCTGTGCTCTTTGTCACACTGATGCACACATTCATGTGCAAGTCATGGCACACTGCAAAAGGCTGATGCTGGATAGCAAAGACATAAAATAAAAAGGCTGACCTGTTCAAGCCACTGATATGTGCAAACGACCTGTTGAAGCACACCTGCAGAGATCTCTCTGATCCTCAGGACCATCAGTCAAATATTCCTCCCACCAGTTGCACTAGGAAAGCCTTTTGTAACTTCCTCCCTCCCTTCTGCCCAATGAAAACCTCCCCTCAGCTTTGCCATAGGGTCTACCAGCTCTTGTCTCTTCTGCTGTTTCCTGATATCACCTATGTTCATGCTGGATAAAGTGACTAGCTGATTTTCTAGTCCTAAGCAAAAAGGTGTCTCCAACCACAGGAATGGTTATAGGAGATAAGCAGGAGTGAGAAAAGAGATGAGGTTCATGGGGAGGAGACCCTGTGGGTGAAGAGAGAAATGTGTGGCCAGCTGCATCTCAACTTCTTACTTTCTTCTTCAAGGTAATCAAGGCCAGGAGATTCAGCAGAGGACAACTCAATTGTAATTCAAATATGAACACTTCACAAGAATCCTCCTAAAAGCCAGGATGCCATGGATAACAGTGCTCATGGAGATGAGAACCAAGTACAGAAAAAAAGATACATATTACAATATCATACATATGAAACCCAGCTTTTGTGCTGACGATAAAGTTTAGTGGTACAGTGGTTTCCTAGCAAACATGAGGCCCTGGGTTCAATCCCCAGCACCACACAAATAAATGAGTAATAAATGAATAAAAACAAAAATAGCACTTAATTTTAGGAAATAGGAATTGAAGAAATTAATTAAAAGTCTTTCTACTTTCTACTTTTTTGTGGGTTCTAAATTCTATATTTTGCCATCTATAACTTCTATAATTGTAACTATGATTAATAATTTTTTTCTCAATCAATGCTAGGCCTTAGTCACCATTGAATAGGCTATGACCTCCTCAAAAAGAGAAAAAAAGAATGTTTGGCAATGAAATTCACCCTGGGCTATAATTGCAAACCCCTTTATACTGGGAGGGTTTGCTTTAGCACAGAAGAGGGGATATCTTTGAAAATCTGTTTCCTAGAGAGGCCACAACTGGGGACTATGTGGAGGTGTCGTCTGTTGATTAGCATGAACACACTAGAATGTTAAAAGAATTTCTGCCCCTCCCTGATGTACTCCCTGTATCTGAAATACGTAGTTCCATTAATCTACCCAAGTACCAATAGGCCTCCATGGCTATCCCCCCACAATTCCGCCTCCTTACATTCCCTGTGGGTGAATCCATCAGGAAGCTGCCCAGGCACTTCTGCATTTGGCAATCACTGAAGAGAACTGATTTTCTTTAGAGTAGAATAGCAGGAAGCAGATGTCTGCAAAGAAATTTTACTCTTGTATTTTTATCGATCACATATTGGTACCAGGTATTTTGTAAATTGTTTTGTGTCCTTTAATCTTCCTATGAGCCCTAAAAGGTGCATGGACAGTTTTCTCCATTTTACTCTGTGTAGTGTGTGGCAGACAAGCAACAGACGGGCACACCCACTCTCCTAAGGACACTTGATGGGAAAGTAGAGAGCTACAGGAAGACTCCAGGGAGCAGTTCTAGTGTGGGGGAGGTGTGATGGGGAAGAATCGGAGCTGAGTTGGAAATTTGGAGAGCCTGGGGACATTTACCACAATACGTGTCCGAGACTACGGAAGCCCTATTTGTCTAAGGAAAAGATGCTGTAAAGTTCTACCATGAGGTTCTGGGGCCCAAGGCCCAAGGAATAATTTTGCATTGCTTTGCCATAGACTGCCTTTGTTTTGATTACTTCTTTTCTTATAGTTGACTCGGATGCTAATTAGACATTTTCTTGCCTATAACCACTCTAATAACACACACACACACACACACACACACACACACACAATGTTATATACTTATATAAGCTCTATCACTGCAGATGTGCTTACATGGTAATGTATTACATGGTATGGGTAGGTATTCCTCATCGACAGTTAAAAACTGAAGGTCAAAGAGATTTAATGAAGTGTCAAATCACTTACTTCGGCGCTAATTAGGGACAGAGATCATCCTGGGATGTCACCTGTTAAAACTTCGTCTAAATTCAAACTTGACTTATGGACAATAAGGAAAAAGATTGCTTCATACCCAACTGATGTTTGTATTCTGAGTTGTCCTGATACTCTGATACTCTATGAAAACTTTCTACAATTTGCTATTCTTGAGTCTGTAGACGGTGGCAATTAAGAGTAAAGACTGAGTTACAGTACCCAGTGTCCCTGCCTTGCTTTCCGTCATGCTGATTCCCCTTTGAACTTGTCTCCAACAGAGATAATTAAAAAAAAATCACATTCTACACGAGTTTGCTTTTTTGTTTTGTTTTCACTTAAATAGCTTCATCCTCTAATTCCACCATCCCACTCTAGTTTACCTCCTTGTGCCATACCACATATCAGAGCTCCTCCTTGGAATTAAAATAAACTTAAGAAAAAGCCAAAATCCAGAGCTGCTGCTAGTGCATTTGGGCCAAAGAGGTCAGGACAGCTCACAGAGATGCTAATCTGTAACCATAGACATCTGACAGATTGGGTGGTTTTAAGGTATCCAAGAAAGAGAGAAATGTCATTGTGAAGATCTCTGGAGTATCCCAGAATAACAATGATTGAAAGAGGCACACCCAACTGCCTGCCTCCATTTTCTCCACTGTTAAAATAGGGCTGGTAACAGAATTAACATCATAGTCATGGCTAGCCTGGATATTAAGTGAAGACATTCTAGATAAAGTACTTAGCAATTAGCTACCATCTATCAAACAATTAAGAAAGCCATTGTAGTTAGTTTGTAACTTGCATTTATTTAGTAATTGTCTTAGAAATCTTTTTGTATCAAAACATGTCAATCTAAATCATACTTCTAAACTATTTTTAATAACAAATTTATCATAATTTATTGAACTGTTGTTGATCCCTCCAGGGATTTTGTACAATTTCAGGGGCTGAAGGCTCAGTGGTACAGTGCTTTCCTACCGAAGGTTAGTCCCTGGATTCCATCCAAAACACACACACACACACACACACACACACACACACATATACACACCCACACCCCCCCACACACAATTATTTAATGCCCATTAACCAACAGATTAGATCTATAAGTAGAATTTCTAAATCAAATAATAGTAGAATAAGTGCAAATGTATAAAATGTATCAATTAATACTTCTGAAGACATTGTTTTTAGTAATTACAAATCATTGACACTTACATTTTGATGTGAGCCACTGGTGTGTGTGCATCTTCTGGTTGTACTATAGGAATATTTTAATTCACTGGGAACATGCATTCTTGCTAATATTTTAGTAGTAGAAATCTGTTAATGATTAACAAGCTTGGTGTATTCTGTTGCTGTTTCATTTTATATTGAGCATTAAGGGAATGAATTGTTTTAGTTGTAACTCTGTCAATATGTCTATCTAGAGGCCTGTTGCCATTTCTGTCTTCAGTGAAATTTTTGTTCCCAAGAAAGGATAACAGATTGCGTTGGTGTATTCTTGGTTATCAAAAAATACTCATGTAGCTTCAGGATTTTGAATTGGTAAATATTCATGATGTGTGGAAAAGCATAATACACACCACAATCTCAATCACACAAAATGGGATATTGTGTATATATGCACACCACCTAGAGGGACACATCCAACTAAGCTTCTTGTGACTGGATGACTTTGTTCTTTGCTTGTGGTTTTTTTTTTCTCCTGTAATGTACAATTTACTTTTAAAAAATAAAAATTATTTTTAAAATCTGAAAAAAAAATCATTGACACATTCACAAACCTGGGAATCATTAACCTTATGGATAAGGATTAGTCATTGTTTTAAAAATCCTGATCTAGTCTTTGTGAGTCTTTTAGTTTCATCTTATTTATTATTAAGCAATGGGAACTTATTTCAGAGAAATGTTTATAAAAACAACCAAATGCATATTTAAAAGTCCACAATTCTATCTTCCAACTTGATGCGTATTTCCTGTTGATTATTTTGTAAAATGTACACAGTAACACTAACTATAATTAATGGAAATTTCTGTGAGAGTTTCTAAATGCATATAATCATAAACCACCAAGATACAGAATAGTCCATTCCAACAAAAGGTAAGATCTACTTTAACTTTTCCTCCAAGTTCAAACTCCAGGCAACTTCTGACTTAGAGTTTACTTACATTTATAACTTTTCCAGAATATCTTAAAATGGAATCCAAAAGAACATAAAATTTTGAATCTGGCTTCTTTCACTTACTAAAATACATTTAATATTTATCCCACGGAGTTGTGTTTGACGTTGATTTATTCCTTTTTGTTGCTGAATACAGTTAAATAGTGTGAATTGATACAAGTTCATTTATCCATTTCTCGGGTGAGGGTCAATGGTCTCTAAATTTTTTGCATAATTATAAATAAAACTTCCATAAATATTTCCATGCGTATTTTTTTCTGAACATACATTATCATTTCATGTATCAAAAAAACTTAGAGTGAAATTGCTGGGTCCTATTTTAAGTGCATGTTTAAGTTTGTAAGGAATTGTCAAACTATTCTCTAAAGTGACTATAACGTTTTCTATTTCCTCCAACAATATGTGAGAGTTTCAGATCCGTTTCATCCCCCCTCAGAGCTTAGCAATGTAGATGTCCATTAGCTTCTTAAAAACTCTTTTGTAAAGTGATTGTAACCACTTGTCAACCCCACCAGATTTTAGGACAATTCCAGTTCTGCCATATCCTTCTCAGCAGTTGCTGTGATCAATTTAAATTTTAATCATTCTAATAAGTGTACAGTGGCATCTCACTTTAATCTCTTACTTTTAATTTGTATCTCTCTAAAAATGAATTAGATTAAGCATCTTTTTATGTGTCTGCCATTCATGTATCGTGTCTTGCCCATTAAAAAATGTAGTTGGTTTTTCGTCATATTGAATTTTGAGAGGTCTTTATGAATTCTACATGCAAAGTTTTGAGGAACTACATGACTAACAAATATTCAACCTTAATCCACGGTTTGCCTTCTAATGTGTTTAATGATATTTTTGAAGATTAATTTTTCATTTTGATAAAGTTCACATTGTTAAAAATAGCCCTTGTGTAGATTGTGCTTTTGGTGTCAAATATTAAAAAGTCTTTGTTTAAATCAATATCAAACAGAATTTTGTCTTGTGTTCTGAAAATTTATAGTTTTAGGTTTTTACCTTTAAGCTAATGGTCTATTTTTAGTTAATTTTATATTGAAAGTGAGGTATTGATAATATTCATTATTTTTTAACAGGGATATCAAATTGTTCCAGTACAATTTGGGGAAAAAATATCCTCTCTCCATGGCTATGTTTTTGTTCTTTTGTAGGAAATTCAACAGATCGTATGAGTGAAGGACTACTTTGTCTTCCATTGCTCTATATGCCTGTCATTCCTCCAACATCATAGTCATTTTATTATCTAAATATCCCTTGCAATACTTTTAGTCATTGTCTTACGATTCACAATATACATCTTTAATTATAAATCCAATCTCAAATAATATTATGTTGTTCACATTGTTGTATAAAGGCCTTTGTAATAGTATGCTGCTAATTCTTCCTGCTCACATTTTGTGCTATTCTTGCCGTGTATTGTACTTTTAGATGTTATATAAATGCACCATACATTTCTAGTATTTTTGTTTGAGACCAGGAATTAGCAAATTATAAAACATTGTCCAAGTCTGGCTCATTGCCTGTTTCTGAACAGCCTACAAGCTATTTTTTTTTTTAATTTTAAATGTTTGTAAAAGATCAAAAGGATAATACTGCATGACATAGAAAATTATATAAATTTCAAACATCGAAGTCTATAAATAAAGTTTTATTGGAAAACAGATATGCTCATTTATTTAAATATTACCTATGGCTTTGTAGTCTGTGCAGACCTAAGCAGCTGTAGCGGAGGCCATATGTCCTGCACAGCCTAATAGACATAAAAGGTCAGGCCTTGCTTTTTGAACATCAATCTTCTTTTAGGGCACTTAAAAATAACAAGAATAAGTGAATTCTTACATTCACTACAGTTATGCCATTTGTCATTGAATTATGTAGATCCAAGTTTCTATATTACATTCATTTTCTTAAAACTCTTAACATTTGTTTTAATTTTCACTATAAACGATATATTTGTTTCAAAATCTCTTCTATTTGCATGTTTTAATACTTTATGGGGATTATAATTCTTGTTTGACAGAACTTTAAAGATGTTGATCCATAATTTTTTGGCTTACCTATTTGCAGATAATAAGTCTGCTATAATTTCTACATTTGTTTGTGTTTATATGTGACATTTTTACTGACTCCCTTTAAGGTTTTGCTTTAGCTGGATGTGGTGGCACATGCCTGTAATCCCAGGGGCTCAGGAGGATGAGGCATGAGGATCCCAAGTTTGAGGCCAGTCTCAGCAATTTACGGAGGCCCTAAGCAACTTAGAGAGATTCTGTATCAAAAAATAAAAAGGGATAGAGATATGGCTCAGTGGTTAAGCACCCCTGGGTTCAAACCCTGGTACCAAAAAAAAAGATTTTTACCGTATCTGCCTTTTATGAGTTCAAATATGATATATGCATGATATCTATAACAATATAATGGCTTACTGCTATTTTATGCCATTATTATTATTACTTATTCTGCTTGATGTTCTCTAAGATTCTTGGGTCTGTGCCAATTTTGGTGTCTATTATATAGTTTTGAATGATATTCAACTTTCATCTCATTTCAAATATTGCTTATGCCTCATTTTCTTTCTGTTCTCTGTCCGGGACTCCAAATGCAAGTATCTTAACCTGTGAGGTGTTATCCTGTGTCATTTGGTTGTTATAATCTGTTTTTTTAAATTTTCACTTTTTTATCTTTGTATTCTAATTTGAGTAATTTTTATTGATCTATATTTGGTTCATCAGTTTATTCCCTGGCCACATAAAGTCCACTGATGATCCTGCTAAGGGCATTCTGCATCTCTGTAGCTGTTTTTTGTTTTTTTTCCATTTCTGGCATTTTCATTTCATTCTTTCTCACAGTTTTCATTTTGCTTCTGATATCATCCTTTGGATGATGTCTTCTGTCCATTGATTTTTAAATACTTTGATAGTTTCAGTACATCTCTATTGTATCTGGAATTTCTTTTGCTATGACTTTACCATGGATGTTTGGTAATTCTAAATGAGAGGCCATGTTTGCAATTGTTGCTGGTTACACCCCACATGAGGAAAAATCTTCTAGAGCTATGCCGTGTCAGTGTCTCAATACCTCCATCAGTATCAGCTTCATGTCTTCCTTTACAACCAAACCTAAGGAAATTTCTCTTTATATGCCCTTAGTCACTCCCCTAGCAGTTAGCTCTAGTTACCTGTGATCTGATGATTTTACCTGGTGATAAATTGCACACATATTCACTACGAGGGTGAGCAATCTATTGCCTGTTCAGCCTGTCTTTGGCAGGCACTGTGTCTCTGAATCTTAGGTGTAGGATTTTCTCCCTAATTCTAAATGTCCTCCAGACGTTGGACCTTGAATCTACTTCTTCCTTTCCTCCAGAAGAACAACTTCTTCCACTTCAAAAAAAGGCTTCTGTGCTCTAAAGATGGCAGAGTTTGCTTTTCTTCCCCAAGAGATAATTTTTCTCTATGGAGGGATCTAGTCAAGGCTTCATGTCTTTCCCTCAGTGGCTTATCTTTCCCTCCCCCAGGACGGTCCCCAATCTTTCTAAAGACCATCCTATGATACATGAAGTTCCTGCAAGTGAGTACAAATTCTCAAGATTGCAGTTTCCAGGAGTTCCAGACTCTAATGCCAGTCCAACATCAACCTTGATCACCCTCAATTTATCACAAATTTTAGCCAAATTCTTCTATTTGATAGGGCATCTTGAGTCCACCCTCTGCCCGAGGTTGCAAGAATGCTTCTATCTGCTCTCTCCTTGGCAGTATCTTTCGTTAGATTTTTTTTTTTTTTTAAATTAGATGCTTGCTCTGCAACCTCAACTCTCTTGTAGATTCAGAAAACCTTGTGATGTTTCAGAATATCTGGCCTTATTTTTGTTGTTGTAAAAGTGGGAATAATGCCTTTTCCAAATCTCTACATATTCAGTGGAAGCAGAGTCCCTTTTAGTAATTATGAAATTGTATTTCTCAAATTATCAGTAAAGATGACAATCTTCATGTCTATGAGCCTTTCATATTTGTTCTTTTGGATTTGATAATTTACGTATTTAGTTTATATATACTTAACTCATATTGACTTATACAATGACATATAGTGAAAAATTCTTATTAATAATTTTATTCATTCAGCAGATATTTATTGAACAACAGCAATATCCTTGAGTATACATATATATACATAGCAGAATCCTATCCCTTCCCCAAACCAAACCAGGAAATAACTTTTATTACGATGATATGTTGATATTTTGGGGTTGTTTATCCAGCGATCGTCACATCTTCACTAATTTGATGTGGGAAGGAGCCTGTGAACTGGTGCCTCCAGGTAGCTCACAATCTGGTCGAAGAGTGTACATCAGGGATTCTTCAATTAAATGTTGCTTAGACGAACTGAGTTCAATTGATCCTTTTTGTTTATTTATTTATTTATTTTACTTTTTGGCCTTAACAACCTGGATGGAAAAGAATTAAACAGATTGATATGCAGCTGATCAGTTATCCCTCTCCTCTTCCCAGTGACTATGTCCTCCTGACATGAACCTTTCTTGTACCATCTCCCTCCCTCCCTCCTAATACATTATTCGTTCCTGGACTGCTCTCCTGACGTGCATCTGCTCTGAGATACGCACTTCTACTTAACAAGGGCATGCCTGCAGTTTTGTCAAGGCTTCAGCCCAATTCTTACAAAGACAGACAGCAATTAGCCGAGCCACGGAGAAAGGAGCAAAGTGGAGGCAGTAGGACTCCTCTGGTAGATGCAGGGATGGTTGGACTGACTCAGAAATCTGTCTTCAAGGTGTTTACGGTCTGTGACTCCTTCTATCTGCATTTGCCAGGATGATCTGTACAACTCTGGGCAAGCTGTCTGCATTGGACTCATGGTGTTATCAAGGAACTCTGTGTGGACCTCAGTGAGAACCAGGGTGTCTCTTCCTTGCGAAGCCCATGACTTTTTAATTGTGTCTAAAATGTGCATTTTCTGGGAGGGAGGTTCCTCCGTTCTGTGAGATGCAGACATGCTACGTATCATGATCTTCCTGTTCAATACCACCCACTCAGCAGACTGTCCTTAAAGTCGTTCCTACCGTAATGAAGCTGTGAACTCCAGATTTCAGCTGTAACTTTTCTCCACTTTTTGACAGTTCGAAGAAGGTAAGTCTAAGCTTATCTCCTTCCTCGCAGTCTACTTGGTTCTGTTTTTTGAACACCAATACTTCCATGCTCCCCGTGTTGTCACTGACGTCAAACAGTACATGATCCCTTTTTTCTGTTTTCTGTAAAAAGAAAACCAGCACCCAGTACGATAAGCTGATTAAGGGATGCCATATTAATCAGATACCAGACATGCCAGAAGCATCTGGCAGAAAGAAATGTAAGGGAAAATTTCAGCTTCACTATCAGTTGGTTTACACCTAACCGATGTAACAAGTTCAGACACAGGAGGCAGCCATGGCTCAATGGAGCATGTTGCCCCTGAACCCGTTTTTCTAGTCCAAAGCCCTCTTCCTTGGTGGTGGGGGGGGGAGGGGCGAGGATGACTCCCAGAGGAAAAACTAATGAGTGGAAAGTTGGGGCTTCTCCAAGGCCAGTAGCCAGGACAGCAAGGGGAAAGGAAGATCCTGATATTGCAGGGGACTCATTTATAGTAACAAATCCAGGAAAGGCACGAGCCAATGAGGCAGGACCTAGAAAAAGAGTCTAATTAAGAGTAAGAAACCAAGGGCCAGAAATCATCCACAATCAAGTCTAGATCAAAAGGAAACAGGATGTTGATCAGCCACCTAAGAGACTGATAGTATTTGAGATATAATCTTATGGGCTAAATGAGTATGTAGGAGTGGATGGCTGGCCAGATTAAAAGCTCAAAACTGAGAGAAAGAAAGTGCTTTCCTATCTGAGGTCATTTTGGGCTTGAATTTTCCAGGACAGATTCCTCCTGTCCGCTCGTCTGCAGCTCACCCAGGACGGCCGAGGTTGTGCTATGGTCCCTGGATGAGGGGCTATCGCTTCCCTCCTGTGTTTCTTCAGGTCCTTCCAGAAAAAGTGGCCACACAAGGCGAGTTCCCAGAGGCTCAGCACACAATCCTTTATGATTTCTCACTTCTAATATGCCTCTGCACATTCTTCTTTCTATTTTCTTCATTTAGTCAGAATTCTTTAATCCTGCCCTAACTTATGGATCTTCCAGGTCAGTGAATCCAGTTTATTGCTCAGTGACTTATTTTGCATTAATATAACTATCACTTAAAATACCAATGGTACATACAAAGCATGAAAATATCACAAAGGGTAAACACTATTGTAGCCCTTCTCCAGAGGCAATAAGGATGAAAAGAAGTTGAAACAGGCTTATGAAAACCTCTTGAGAATGAAAATATTTTGGGGAGTGGGTTGCCTATGAGTTTTGGCACATTAACTCTGCAACTCTCTAGAACTTTGGGTTTATTTGTTTAGATTTTTACTAATAGAGAAAAAAATGGAACTGAATAATTTCTAAAGTCCATTCAAAGGTCAGATTAAAGAACACCTTATTCTTACTAATTAATATGTAAAACTCTACGTAGGAACTTACCTTCTGTATTACAAACAGCCCGTTCACTATTGTCCCGAGGGGCTGAGTCTGCAGCTTATTTATCTTTGGTGTTTCCCCAGCTTTCCTGATAATATACGGTGGTACATTAATCTCTTGATCAGACTTAGCATCAACTATCAGGGAGGCACTATTCACCTCCAGAACACCACTGTGCCAACAATATTTTGATATGATGATTGTTCTCTTTGGAGCAAATTTATCTTTTAGCTGCATATTAAAAACTTTGACAAGAAAGAATTCCTTCTCCGTGGCCACAGTAGCATGAAACATCTCTTGCTTTCTTCCATCTTGAGTCTCAAACTGGAAGGGCTTCATTGCTTTCAGCACCAGGACTATGAGGCGGTCTTTCTGCAACCCTTCTTCTCGGACGGATTCCTGCTGGGCCGTCACCTGCTTCTGCTTAGGCTGAAGACCATGGAAGAAAGATGGGAGCCATGAGTAAAGGGGCACTTAGTGTTAAACCTTAGGAAGCCAGCCCGAGAGAGGAGCAACCAAAGGAAGAGATAGAAGGGGGTTAGGAAGAGATCTGAACTCAGAATTATCTGGATAGGAGAGAGAATGCAAAAGAACGATTTCAAGTCCTGTGTTCAAATGGGCCAGCGGAACAAGCTTTGGAGATAGATTCCCTGAATCTGAATCCTCAGCTTTCTCATCTAAAGGATGTGTAGAGTGCATCAGGTTTATGCAGCATTGCCAAGGCAAAGGGGTAAATCTCTTCTTGTCTTCTTCTGCTGATTGCATTGGGGCATAAGGTGCCCTTGTCCTCTATCCAATATTGTCCTGAATATTCATTTTACTCTGGTATGAAGGTGAGGGAGCTCAGTGATCTGACAAGTCTCCCCAAATTCCTAGGGATAGTAATAATAAAAGTACACATTAAATTAAATGTGAATAAAGAGAGAGACCTAGGACAGAGATCCTACAAATACATTAAAGGCTAATTTAAAGGAGAATCAAGTCTACCTTTATGAATTAACTTCTAGAAATACTGAATGGCACACTACAGTTTACCTTAAAAATTTTATTGTTGTTGTTAATTACAAAAATTTGAAATCATTTAAATGCCAAAAAAAAAAAGAGAGAGAAGACTGATTGGCACACACCATCTATTTTTGTGTAAGTACACTTCATGATGTTCACACAATAATAAAGTCAACTAATGACAGATATGTCTCTCAGAACATATCCCTGTTATTACATGGCAAGGACTGAACAGGGTTGTTTATTTTTACTACAGTAAAATCTTAAGCATCTCAGAAAAGTAGTAATACTGAAAAGAATGTGATCTTTGGATAGTAGGATCTTGCTGTTTATAAACTATCACATTGCATTTTTAAAAAATTAAAAATAAATGCCAAAAACAAGGTATTTGATTAAATAAGTATGTATAATCGCATCATAGATTACTATGCAAATATTAAAAATGCTTTAGAAGAATATTATGGTAAATGGTTATAACTGATTTAACAAAGGATGAAGTCTGAAACAGAATGTACAATGTTTTTCTTATTGGCTAAATCAACAATTAAACAGTACTCACACTCCACAGAGATATTCACCAATATCACGTAAGTTGTTTTCTAGGTGACATGATCTTGAGTAATTTTATTGTCATATCTATGCTTTTTGTTTTTTGAAATTAACAGAGATATAAGATTCTTTGTGTCTGTTTTAGGAGCAAATGTTACTTTTAAATAGCAATATGCTCTCCAAAGCCAAAGGAAAATGTAGAGGGGGAAAAAGAACTATGTAAGACCAAGTGCAAATGTGTCTGAATTGGATCTCTGGTGGGACCTGGCACTTGGGTCCATAAGGGGACCTGACGGACAGTACCCACAGACTGCGTTTGGACCAGTGCAGGAAAACATCAGCTTCCCTGAGGCCCAATACAAAATTTCTTGTCTTTGGTCCGGGTACCTTTAGTTATGTCTTCCAGACTAAGTAATTTTAATGACCAACTTCTGAAATGCACTACTTATATCTTCATATCATTTCCCTGACAACTTCAGAAGTTTCTAGGCCAAACCCAGAAGAAGTGGCTGCTCTGGGCAAAGAGAATGGAAAACATTCCATCAATTTCTATTTAGCTCACACATCTGTAAAGTTACATGATTCCTACTTCACAGGAGACAAAACTGCACGTTTGGTAGACTTGGGGGTTTTGTTTTTGTTTTCCTTTGAGCACTTTCTTTGTCTTAAATATGCCAGAAATTGAATTTTAATTTTTTAATTTTATCTGGCTTTCACCGGTGTATAGTAATTGTTCCTGTGTGTGGGCGTCCTGGGCTCCTAAGTGTTCTGTGGGACGGACTGAGACATTTGTCATGAAGGTACTGAACTTGACATTGACCCCACTCTATTTCTTTTACTTCTACGTGGGCATGAATACTAAAAGCACTCTAAAATATACTTCCTGGAAATGACTGTCTCTCTGAGTTTTCTTCTGATGGGATCCAGTCTAACAAGGGGTTAAAATGTTCAGAACATATTAGTGATTAGAAACTCTGTATTTTTGAGTCCACTTTTCTTTTTGTAACCTAGGAACAATTCTCAAATGATAGACTGTCTTTCCTTAATTGCAAGCTGTGAGATAAAGAACAGAGATCCTCGTGTAGGGAAGGACAGGGACAGTGGCTAGGGAGTACTCTCATGAGGATGAAGGCCACTCTGCTCACGCGGTCCTACCTTCCCAGGAGGAGAGACTGCTGGTGCCACCCGGTGCTGGCCGGCATCATTGCCGCTGACTGCGGAGGCCACAGAACCCACTTCCGTTAGACTTTTCCTTTTTGTCAGACTTGCTTCTTTGGTCTTTTTATTTCCCATATACTTATCATCAACTATTAAAAAAAATTAACAAAAAGGACATATTAACCAGAAGAGGGACAAAGTTGGCTGAGAAATTCAAACAGCATTATCTCTCAGGAACAAAATAAGAAGAAGGACCCTAGCAGGAGGGGTGACCAAGAGCTGGCCTCACAGAAGTCTGCCTCACAGCCGTCACACACAAGGGGACTTTTGCCACCACCTGGGAGTGCAGCCAAGGCTCCTTCTGAGAGAAGTTCCACCGGAAGGAAAGAGGAATGGTCTCACTGTTCCCATGACACCCCTCTCCCGAGGCAGCCCAGCACCACTCAGACAGAATTCCCTTGGACCCACGGACCCACGGGTGCTGCAAGGAGAAGAGAGGCGTAGTGAGCACTTGGTCCCCAGCATCCTGGGAAGTTCTGCAGGAGGCTCACTTAGGTCTTGAGGAACACTGGAGGCACTGGCAGTGATAGACCACCCGGGGGGCCCACTTAGAAAGAAGGAAGGGGTTGGGTATCACAGGGATCAGCACACGGATCTTGGTGGCCCTACGTTCTGGCCAATGGAGGCTCCAAACCAGGGAGAGGTCCCAACAGCATTGTTCTGCAGGAAACATGACCAATAGGTCTGTTGGGTTTTTGTTTTGTTTTTTGTTTCTTGTTTGGGGTACTGAGGGTTGAACCCAGGGGTGCTCTCTCTCACTGAACTATATCCCCAGTCCTTTTTATTTTTATTTTTTTAACTTTGAGATGGGGGGGGTCTCAAAAAGTTGCCCAGGGTGACCTGGAACTTGCGATTGTCCTTCCTCCCCTCCTGAGTGGTGGGACTTGTCAGTGTGTGCCCTGGTGCCCAGCTGGTCTGATGGTTTTCAGTTCTCTAACCAGCTTTCCCACCCAGCCGTGGTCTTCCCCACAATACAGGTAAGTGCACGTGTATGCACACCTGTGGAGGGAAGCTGCCTAACTTCAGATCGCAGCATAATGCTTCCCCAGGCGAAGACGCAAGCCGACTTCCACAGAAACCTCTGCAGGGGAGCATCTGGCCTTGCCAGACACAAGAGTTGAGCAACTGACCCCACCCACCACCCAGCCTGTGCCCCTGCACATCTGCAGAGGAGAACATCTGGCCGCTCCAGTCCTAGTGGTTAAGGAGTGGTGCCACCCAGCTTTGGAGCACAATCTGAACTTGTGCTGGACCCAGGCAAGGAAGCAAGTCTGAGATCCCATGTATCTTTGGAGCATGGCTTATGGCCTTCCCCAGTTGGAGTGACCCCAAAGCAACCCCAACAACTTTTCCCCCTTTCTCATCCTTCAACCCAGCCTGTGGCTCTGCCCAAATACAGATGCCAAGCAGCAAAACAGCAGAACCGACCACCTAGAAACCCAAAACCAAAAACACGAAAAAAATTCTAGGATATTCAGGAATATGTGGAAATTCTACAACATGTTCCTGAATAAACAACAGCACAGCCGAACTTCTCATTTACTTGTTATCTCTCTGCTTTGTCACCAGATCTAGAAGGATTCTTGGTGCCTACCAGGAATTCAATTGATATTAGAGAAAGGGTGGATGGATAGACAGGTGGATGGCATGCCAGCTCCTCACAGTGTCACCATCACGCAGCCTTAGGGTCTGGCTTGGATACCCCAGGCCTAGGGTCAGATTATATTTTACTCAGGCCACTTTGGGTTCTGGTTTTAAAATGACCCTATATCTATCAAGATGGTTCCGTTCAATTATTTAAGGCTCTCTCAAGAAGAAGAGGGCATGAGAAATCACTGGATGTTGTTCCTGACGGAACTTGAGCGGTTCTAGGCTGAAGTCACAAGGTCACTTGGATTTTATGGGAAAGAAGAATAGTTATCAGGGCTCACCGCAGAATGAGCTGTCTTCTGCTGCAGTAAGTTCTCTGTCGCTACATTTCAAACAGCAGGAAGGACCGGACCCTCTGGCAGGAAGATCACAGGGGGACCTCTGCCCCAAAAGTTGAAGTGACCTTCCCACGGTAAGTGAGTTCCGTGAAACTGGTTTCAGAGAGGCGTGTAGATGAAAGTCCCCCTTTCAAAGCGGACCAGACCGTATAGGAGAGAAAAGGGTCAGGAAGGTCGAGGGACTCAACATGTCCTCCTGCCCCGCACATCAGCCATCTTTCATCTCATTCATAGGGGACCAAGGAAGTGTTTGTCAAAGAACACATCTGCCCACTACACATCTCTTACATTCCTTCATCATCAGGTTCACATTTTCATCTATTTGATTTACCATTTTCAACCTCTATTTTCATCTGACATGACTTTTGCAGACTTTGATCATGTTCTCTTTCAGCTTCCTTTTATCATGCTTAAGTATCCTTCTTAGTCTTCATCTTTCTTCCCCCAAAAGCCTCTCTGTCTCCTAACCATAGACTCTGAGTCACTAAAGATTCCTTCAGCAAGCCAGGTGCAGCGGTGCATGCCTGTAATCCCAGATACTCAGGAGGCTGAGGCAGCTGTTGGGGATGCAGATCAAGGCAAGATGGCGCCTGGCAGCTTGCCAGGAGGAGTGGTTTGTGAAGCAAAGCCAGGGAGCCACTAAGATGATGAGAATTCCTTATTGGCTGACTGCTGTATCTAGATGATGCTAATTGAGTCAAGCTGTGTGTAATTAGTTAGGTATATAAACCTCTGCTGTCCGGCAGAGAGGCGGTTCCTGCTATCTCAGGTGCCCGCTACTTTCAGTTCTCGCTCAGTTCCTGCTGAGTTCACTTGCAATAAACTAGTTCCCGCTTCAACCTTCAAGTTGCTTGTCACCTCTCGGTTATTTAGCCCAGCCGGACTGCGGCAGGCAGGAGGATCACAAGTTTGAGGTCAGCCCCAGCAACTTAGTGAGATCTTGTTTCAAAATTAAAAAGGATGGGTAGAGTGTTAGTAGAGTGTTCCTGGGCTCAATGCCCAATACCCCCCCCCACACACACACGCAATAACAACAAAAATAATAACACTAAGAATCTTTCAAATATCCCCTACCTTCCACGCAGTAGAAGCATGCAGAAGCATGCAGAGCCTTGGTGTAACATTCAACAAACAAAAACACGTAACAGAGGATGAAATTTACAAAGAAAGACACAAAACTGATCCCCAAACATAGGAGAGGTAACATGGGGCACAAATAAATCTGGCACATTTAAAGTAGGCCTAAAGACAACTATGGATAGAATTTTGACTTATAAAGGAACTTCACTGATTTCTCACACAGCATACGAAGCTGCCAGTCATTCCTAGATGTCTAGCCTGGGACCACTGTGGATCATTTTTAGCTAATTGAGGTAATCCAATTTCAGGATCATTAGAAAAGCAAACTGGAGTAAGGAGTAAAGACTGTGGTTAGAGAAATTTGGAGTTCCCTGAGCCAAAGGGAAGGATGAGGGTTCGGAGGAGGGGAGGGTTCCGTCCTTTTATTATTATTTTGACAGACTCAAAGTTGCTGGAGGGTGTAACTAAGTTGCCCAAGATGACCTCAAAATTGCAATCCTTCTCCTTCAACCTCACAAGTAGATGTATTACAGATGTGTGCCATCATGCCAGGCAAGAGGAACGAATTTTTCATTGGGGTGAGATGGAGCGGATGAAAACATACTAACAAGTCTATGTCTGTCCACATTCAAAGAAGCAGGGCAATTGGTTTTGCGGAGCAACTGTGTGCCATTACTGCCACCTAGTGGTCCTATCTAAGAAGAACACCTCCAAGTTTCAGCAATCCAAGGAAAATAGAAGGCATGGCGGCACAATCAATCCTTTCTCTAAAGTGCCTTAGATAAAAATTCATGTCTGTACATTTATATCATCACTTAAATGGGCCTCATTTAGCCTTCATAGAAATCACGTATGAGAAACTATGTTATTCATATTGTACACACAAACAAATACTATATTAGAATCTTAAAACTACTACTTTTGGTGTCTTTCATTTTGGAGAGTCTTTGGTTGATCTTTTTTTTTTTTTTTCTTAAGTCATTTTGTCAATAAAGCCAGGATGTATCAGTTGTTCTTAGGCAACAATCAGGAGCTTAAATGACAAGGAGATATTTTTTACAGACTGGTCAATAGTTCAGTGAATAATATAAATCATGGTGTCCTGGGAAATGTATCTTGTCATTGGAGATGAAGAGGAGACAGAAGAATCCCTGGACTAGAAGGACAGGGTCTTTCTTGAAGAAAGACAGACAGTCTGGGACCCTGGCAGGCTGGCCCAGGGGAGACGCAGAACCTGTGAGGAGAGGCAGAGGTGCCTGATACCCCGGTTTATGGCTTGCCAGGGCTACAGTGTGCTTCAGTCAAGTGTGAGACCACGTGATAGAGTCTGAAGCACTACTGCCATCCATCCTGTGTGCTTGGTCACTGCAAGTGGACCGGAAGCAAAGATGGGCAAAGGGAACATGAGAAAACCGTTCTGAGGGCTGGAACCAGAGGTGGCACACTCATGCTGGGCTGCATTGGTGGAATTTCTAAAAACCGCTTCTAGCAATTATCAGTAAAGGGTCAAATGGACATCTGCGCTAGCAAACAAATCCCAGTGTGCCCCGGGGTCTCCTCCCTCTGATGCCAGAAAAGGTGAAGAACTCCATGTACCTCTTGCCTTCTCGTCCTGAAGACTTTTTGCCACGTGCATATAATTCAGCCTCTGGAAGATACGTATGGTCTTAGTCACCGCAGGCACCACACCGGCATTTTGAATCAGCAAGTTGGCTAACTCTGTCCTGTTTGCAGTCTGCAGTTTGCTCTTGGCAATCGTGAATTCATCTGGAATAAAGAACTTGAACCTATCCAGTTCCTCATCAGTGATGTTATCCAGGCCCCTCAGTAACAGCATTTCTCTGTATTTGCTCTCCATCTCCCAACTTTGGGGTCAGCCTATAAGAAACCCAAAACACATAAAGTTACACCACCCAAAGTTAAATAAGCAAGGTGAGAGGTTAATATCTCCTCCCCACCCCCACTCTTTCTTTTCCTATCTATTCTTGATTGATTGATTGATTGATTGATTGATGGTATTGGGAATTGAACTCCACTGAGTTGCATCCCCAGCTAATTTTATACTTTATTTTGAGACAGGGTCTCACTAACTTGCTGAGATTGGCCTCAAACTTGCAATCCGTCTGCCTCACCCTCCCCAATCACTGGGATCACAGGTGTGCTCGACCTTGCTCAGAGTTAACATCTTTTTAAAGGGAGAGTAAAATGTCTACAGTACATTTTACAGTACATTAAGGATATTTATTAAGCAAGATGCCCACTACTACTGAGAAAGGACATCTTCAGAGGTGTTACAATGAATCTGTAATTCTTAGAGAACAGGATTCACTCTGCAAACGGAATTGTTGAACATACTGACACACAACACAGTGAATTTATTTCAAGCATACAATTTGAAAATCTTGATGTATGTATGCATACAGTAGCTGAAATCCAATTTATTAATTTGCTCTTTCATGGATCATGCTTTTAGTGTCACGTCCAAAAAATCTTTTCCAAACAAGATCAGAAGACTTTGTCCTATATTTTCCTCTAGAAATTTTATAGTTTGGCCTTTTGGCACTTGTATCTACGACCTCTTTTGAATCATTTTGTATATGGTACACGGTCTGATTCAAAGTTCATGTTTTTCACATGGATATTAGTTTTGCCATGATTTTATTCTTTTTCCACTCATTGACCTTTGTGCTTTGTCAAAAATCCTTTGTCAAATATGATTTGGTCCATTTTTTAATTCTTTTTTTCCATTCCATTGACTTATTGGGTTTTATGCCTATACAATATTGTAGTAATATGATTGTCTTTGTATGGTATCAAAAATAATACAAAAACTATTAGAAATAAGAATGAGCATTGATTCTAAATATAAGGTTAACATATGCAAAAGCCTCATTTCTTTATTTCAGTAATAATCCAAAGGGAGAAAACATTGAATAAAATAGTATAATTTCTAATAATAACAAACCTACAAAGTATTTAGAATATGTAATAAAAATATACAATGCTTTAAAGAGCGTTATAACTTTAGTGATAGACTTAAAGTACATAATTAATTACGGATATGTAAGATATTTTGAATGGAAGAATTCAATAAAATGAAGATGGCAGTTTTGCCAAATTAGTCTATAAACTCCAAGCAAAATCTCAAAAGGCTTTTCCTGGAGAACTTAACAAGATGATCCTAAAATCTACATCAAAGGATAAAGACAAAATTATACAAAATAAGTTCAAAATGTTTGTTTGAAACCACTATTCTTCCTAATTTACCAATCCTTCACATAAATATATATAATGAGTTTATTATGTCTGTAATATATTATTATATAATGATATGATAGTGTCACAGAAAAAAATTAACTAATAATAGAGTATGGAAACAGAAATAAAAGCATGGTATCTGATCAAAGTGACATTATACATCACAAGGAAAGGATGTCTGAACACGAAAAGTGTTCAGACACTTATATATGAGGAATTACAATATTGAATCATTATCTCACAACACACACACAATATATATTTCGTGATGCTGTTGAAGAAAACACAAGACTTCTTATCACATTGAGGTAAAAGCATTTCTTAAATAAGGCTCAAAAAGAGCCAGATAAGAAAAGCCTAAAGTCAAATTTGAGTATGTGCACATTCTAAACCTCTTTGTAGGAAAAACACACACACACAGTAAATAAAGTGAAAATAAACTGGGAAGATACGATCTTCAATGTGTGTAACTAACAGAAGATTTGCTTTCCAAATATATAGAGAATCACAAACCAATAAGAAAAATATAAATGGTCTATCTGAAAAGTGGGCAAAATATATGAATAAGCAATGTTTGCTCAAATGTCTAATAAACTTTCAAAAAAAGATGTTTGGCATTACTAGCAATTAGTAACTTCCAGAGAAGCAACATATGAGGTTCAAGAAATAAGCCAAAGAATGAAAGATGGCATGTTTATTACTAGAAAATAATGGATCATGAATTTCAGAAGCCTGAAGACTCCATCCATAGAGACAGTGTTAATAAAGTTATTATGGTTAAAATGGCCTTATTAATTTTCCAGTAGGTAAGGACTGAAAACATGTAGAGTTAAAAGCCAAAACTATTATCAGCACCATTTTCAAAATAAAGAATGCCCCTAAAATACCTGGGAAATTAATCTTCTCAAATGTTCTAGTCCTTCCTTACTCAAGAAAGCAGTAAGGAAGTTAGCTTTGGTTAAATATCCGTAATGTGATAGTCAACTCAGCATGCTTCTTACTTGTCTACTTGACATTAATCTTGTTAGAACCCTCTTGTAAAATAACATAATCACATTTTAATGAGAAAATTAAGACAGCTATTTCTCTGAAGTTTTATTTTTATCTAATGAATGTAAAATTAGCATTTTACTTCATAATATCTGTCCACTTCTTTAAAAAGTTGTTTTGAAGTACTTGTTGGAATACAGATATAGCTCCCAGGTCGAGTGCTTGCCTAGCGTGCACACGGCCCTGGGTTTGACCTCTAGCACCACAAAACATAAAAAAAAAAAAAAATAAGATATTTGTTATTATGTAAAATTTATACAGAAATCAAATGCATTCAGATCAATTTGGTGACTTTGTGGCCCCAAAGTCCACACACTGTGATTTAAGAAGCATGATTCTGCATCATGCATAATAACTGATCACTGGAGAGTGTTCTGCAATTTACCAAGTGCTTCCACATGGAATGTGTATAGTACAAAGGAAAGAAAATATTTAGGAAGTGCCCATTTATCTCTAAAATGGGATAATTTCTACCCCTAGGTATAAGTACCCAGCATGATATGTCTGAAAAATACATTTTCATTTATTATAATCTCTCAATTATTACAGGCTAAATTAGCTTTTCAAGATGGAATGGCTTACCTGAGGCCCCACAGCTAGTGAATGGCAATAAGACGGTGTGAACTCAAATTGTTGAATCCAGACCCTTTGTTCCTTCTTTTGCCAACTGCTTTTTTATTGTTCAGAGAATGTGCAATAACGCTTAAAAAAAAAAAAGCTGATGTTATTGGCTGTCATTTGGAGAGCATCATAAGTATCTAACCCTCTTATAATTCCAATAATAATATCATAATAACTGGCAATCATTTTCTTAGCCTAAACGACTTATCCCTTTTCCACAAGATGGTGGCTAAGACTCTCCTGTGGTCCTCTCCCCACAGAAACATCAATTTGAACAGCTGTTCACACACCAAACTGTGTTCTCATTAGCTAAAGAAGCCAGGTGAGACTCCCGAGTGCCTGGTTTTAGTACAACAGGAAGAAAAGGCACATTGAAGGACACAGGAAAAAAGGAGTCACCCACATCACTTCTTCCCCAGCTCCAAGTAATATGGAGAGAATGTCTCTTCCTTGTAAGGAAGAGAAGGAATTAGGACCACGACTTCAACTTGAACCCCAGTGCCAGGCCTGCCAGGGTGAGCCCCGTGCTCCAGAGCCCCAGTCTGGACTCTTAAAACCTGTGTAGTCAGGCCACTGAGAACCTCCACCAGACCTCCCCCAACTTAGGGCCAAGAAACCAGGAGCCAGGCTCCACCCACTGGGCATCAGGGCATGAAATTTAGCCTAAGACTTTGCCTTTGAGCTCAGAGCCCAGCCTGTTGGGCTGATATGTGGCCTTAGGCAGAAACCAAAAGTGTGTCTACCTATCCAGGAGCTCACAGACAAAGCTTCTAGACCTGCCAGACATCACACACTAACCTACATGCTGCTGAAAGAACACAAGTTTGGCCTACATCATTACCAGCCTCAGTGTGGGCCTAGGTACACCCTTGTCCTCCTGAGACTGCATAAGTCCCTGTGACTGTGTGGTCCTGATGTGACTCAGTCTAATACCACCCTTCATGGTCAAGGGGCTGTTTCCACCACCTGTCCCCCAACCTTGGGTAACACAGGTCAGCGCTCATACATGGAGCCTCTAGACCTGCTCTGGGACTAGGCAGAAACTTATGTCCCAGGGGGATGGGCTGGTGCTTTGGCCTGTGTCCCTGACAGCTGTGCTGTAAGGCTTAAGACTGAGAAGGTCCTTGTGGCTGTGAGATTCAGGTGTGACCCAGGTTGGTGTCAGCCTTGGTGGCCAAATTGCTGCACCTTCACCAGCCTAATTCCTCCTCAGAACAACATGGAGTAATGTCAGGAGCTGTGAATACATTACAGGGTTCTTTAAACCATCGCAATGGAGAATGCTCAGTGGCTGGTGACGCCCTGTTCAAAAGGGGGTTCGGTGCCTCACAGAATTTATTGGTTCAAACAGTCCTGGGATCAAACACCAGCTGTCGGGAGGTAGTAGAGATCTAAGTGCAAGCTGATAAGCTGTTTTTTTTTTCTTTTTACTTTTACTAGGTATTCCAAATTTTCAGGATTTTTTAAAACGAGGTATAGATGACAGCAGAATGCATTTTGATTCTGATAAGCTCTTAACTGAGCTGTTCCTGCTCATGACTTTGTTTATCTTGAAGACGCTTTCTCACAGTCAATCCATTGCTGTGGGTATCTACGTGACTGCATGACCAATGTGATTCTGCAACCTGTACACTCAGAGAAATGAGAAATTATATCCCATCTGATTCAAATGTATGATATGTCAAGGTCGTTGTACTGTCATGTGTAACTAATTAAAACAAATAGAAATTAAAAAACCAAAAACCAGTATAATAAACGTGCTGAGCCCGCAATGGGGTCAGCCAAGCCTCATTAGGGCTTGGCTTTCCCACCGGGTCCCACTCTCCTGTATTTGTGGGTTTGTTTGTTTTTATTTCTAATCCTCTCACCTGTCCTCCTCTGGGAAACTGAGGAAACGTTGCTCAGGGGGTGACAGAGTAGGACGCCATTCAGTGAGGGTAGGACCAGGTAACAAGTTCTGAGTTTGCCTTGGAACTCAGTGACGGGCTCGAGAAACGGGCAGGTCCTAATGGCTGCCAAGCCCAGATCAGCACCTGCAAATGGCGCCTCTGGAACAGCCCTGCTAGAGGGCAGAAAGAGTGTCTCTCACAACTATCCTCCACTTAGCATCCCCTGTGGCTGGCTGTGGCGGTCTTGGGCCCCAAGAACACAAGGAAACCTATACCAATATGCGTCTTCTTCCTTCCCAGTGCTGCATGGTCTCTGTGGGCTGTGAGCTCCGGTAGGACACAGTTCAGGGGCACTGGTGGCCAGAGGCATGGCACAGCAGCCTGGGGCTAGCCCTTCCATGGTGCTTTTGCCCAGGGCTGTGAAGTACCTGACCACAGGCTGGTGACTGTGAATGAGATGTCTGGGCCTCTCCCAGCCCCAGAGAGACTCCTGGGGATGGCCTGCCCTTTTTAGCGACCGCCCTGCTTCATGCTGGTCAATACAGTAACTGTTGATTTGGAATAAACATGGAATTAGACCACTGTCTAGTACTGAAACAGTTATCGCACATGGAGAGCTGATTCCTGGTAAGCCTCGATGCAATAAAGTGTTAAAATCGTGGAAGAGACTCTAGGCTCAAAGAAAACAAGCAGTTAGAATTTCTATAAAGACAGGCACAAACAAAGCCAGGTTGGGAAGACCGGAACATCTATTCCTTTAATGTTTAGACAACATCACATACCAACAAGCAACAAAAACTTTTTCAGTAAACTATCACCTCACTCAATATTCAAAATAAACTGGAATACACTGACCAGAATGCAACCAGTATGGGCAAACTTTAGCATGGGAAATTTAAAACAGCTCGTTTAGGGAAACTCAATCAGCTTCAAGAGAGCTCAGAGAAATGATTCGATATTATAACACAGAAACTTAACAGAAAGATGGAAGTAATTTTAAAAATCAAACAAATCCTTGAGCTGAAAAATACTCTAAACACAATAGAAAGACACAACAGAAGACATCAGTAACGGAAGAGACCAAACACAAGAAAGAAACAGTGAGCTCAAAATATACAGTTGGAAGAGAAGAAAGGAAAAAAGAATGAGGAGAAATGAAGAAAGCTTATAGAGACTTTAAGGAAGTTAATATTTGGGTTATTGGGCTACAAAGGGAACTTGAGAATGCCACTGAAGCAGAAAAGATTCAAAGAAATCATAGAAGGCAAGAGAAGAAAACAAATACCTAGGAACCAGAAGATCAAAGACGACCTGTCAAATTTAACTCAGCCAAGTCCACAGCAACACATACAGTAATCAAGCTAACCAAGTCTAAAGGTAAAGGAGTCAAGGCAGCAAGAGAAAAGAAACAAATAAAAATAAGAGTTTCCCTAGTTTACCTGTAAACAGAGACCTCATAGACCAGGAGAGTGGCAAGAGACTTTCACTGTACAGAAGGACAAACTATCAACGGATAATACTGCATCCAGCCAAGACATCCTTTAGAAATTAAGAAGAAACAAAGGTACTCCCTAACAAAAACTGAGAAAATATATTTGCACCAGATTTCTCCTATAAGAAATGATAAAGGGAGCTCTCCAATTAAACAGAGAGAGAGAGAGAGAGAGAGAGAGAGAGACAGACAGACAGACAGACAGACAGACTGACTCATGAGTAAGAGGAAAACAGAGCAAGGTGTCCCAAGCTGTCCATGGGTTGCATGTGGGTACATGGAAGCACCTAGTGGTGTCTTCCATGATTGAAACATCTGGTGTCTGGGAATGACCAGTGGACATTTGCCCAGGGACAGTGTGAATTTCTATCCCACTTTGCCATTGCCCATAAAGTACCTGGGATGGGTGTGACCTGTCAAGATGTCAATCAACCTACTGACTGCAAGACATCATGAAACAAGACTCTGCTCTTGAAACCTTATCCCTGCCTTTGATGTACCGCCTTAAATAAACCACTTATGTAACACCTTAAATAAACCACTGAAGCCTTCTTTTCTTTGTCTAGTTCTAGCACCCACATGGACTAGATCTATCAGGGGTTTTGCTTTTGTAAATATATGTCTGAATATTTGTGTTTTGTTATTTATTAATTATTTAAGACTTTAAGTTTTAGGGTGGTTTACATCCTCTTGGGCAGGGAGAAGAACCCCACCCCTCCAAAGAGATGCTGGCCATCGCTCCCGTTAGCAAGCTATAAAACTCTCTGGTAAGAGTAATTATACGATGTTCTAATATTACAAACATGGTGCATACGCCATTCATATGTAGCCTGAAGAACAAAAAAACTTAAAAATAACAATTGCCTTAATTTTAAGAGATAAGGAAAACAGAAAGATAAAAAATAAAATATCAAAAAAATCAAAACGTGGAGAAATGGAATCTCTTTGCTGACTTTTTAATTAGTATATTTTCTCTCTTCATTTTTTCTTATTTTTATGATCATGTTATACTGCTATCATTTTTAAAAGTTTGTCCTAATCAAAAGATGTTTGTGTAACTCTCATGAAAACCACACAGCAAATATCTATAATAAACACAAAAATAATACACAAATAATCAAAACACACTAGTAGAATAAACCACAAAAGCAGATCATAAGAGAATGAGAAAGAAATAAAAGGGGCTAAAAAAAAAATCCCCAGAAAACAAGGTACAAAATGCATACAAAATGCAAACTTATCTGCCAATAATTTCCTTGAATGAATTAAATGCTTCAATTAGAAGATATGAAATGACTGAACGGATAAAAATTGAAGACCTAATTATACTTACTCACAAGAAACCTCGGAGGAGAGGCCGATCCACCCCGGAGCTGAGCACCATTCGAGAGGAACACCACACCACCCGCTGCCCGGGAGGAACAGAGGTTGTGGTTCCCTACTCACCAACGTGTGGCTCCACCTAAGCCACCTCCATTCTGGGGCCTCACAGCCCCTATCATGGCCCTCCCCACATGGTAATCTCCACCGCGGGACATCAGACAGGGCCAGGAGGCAGCTGCCCCTTGCAGCACCACACACCACACTGCAGCATCGATGAACAGGCCACCCAATGCCATCGTGCAGCCCATTCTTCCAGCCCCATCTCTGAAAGTGATTGCCTCCATCTTGGAACACCCCCACTGCAATCTTAGGGTACC